TGTCCGATAACACCCAATCTGAACAAACTATTTTGCTAATACCATCTCCTAGCCCAGATTACTAATATCCCTCGCCAAGGCCTATCGTAGTTCAAAGGGACTACGAATCTAGAGCTCCAAAGCCAAAACAAACATGAGACATTGTCACTATTCATCTATCACAATCTGAAGTGGACTGTGATGGCGGAAAACAAACAGGCCTAAAAGAAATGGTAATGGTAATGCAGTAGTCTTGTTTTCTTGCCACTGATGCCACCTCCTCTTCAAACCAATGTAGATATATACCATGCATGATATAAATCAACTACTAAAAAGATGATTAATTTGGGAACTTATTAAATTTCTTAAAAATTGATAGTGATATTGGCTTAGAGTAATAATGCGGTGAAGTTGAAGGTAAAGTATATATTTAGGTGCAATTTGGGAAGCTAGCTAATAACTAGCTTTTAACTTTTAACCCATTTTGAGTCATATCATTTCTCACATTTTTTACATACAAAAGAACAAAAAAAAGCCAAAAAAATCTAAAAAATTAACTTTTAATCATCTTTCCAAATCATCCCTTATACTATTATATTAAAGGCTAGGGTTAGTGTCAAAATCTTTGCTTACCTCTTCTTGTGTTACGTTTATCATTTCTATATAAGAAATCAAAAAATTACATAAAAAAGTACACAAGACTCTTACTATTGACCTTGATTATTTAAAAAAAAAAAAACATTCTTACCACTAGAGTAACATACATATTATGATATTAAATTATTTATTATTTATTTTTATTTTTACTTACTTGGATTATACACGCGTTATGCCACCCACTAGTGTATATATTGATATATTATGATATTAAATGAAAGGCTTTTTTTTATTTAAAAAAAAAATTTTAAAAAATGTTCTGTAGTGTCATTACGACATTTGTGGGCTTAGATCCGGGGATAGTCGGTTGCCAGCCTGATTTTACCCAATCCAAACGAAAACACCTACCACCGAGGCACCAATAGAGCTCATTGAGCATCCTCAACAGGGTCAAGTTTCGATCGGAGTACAGCGCGAGATCTCTGCAGAGAACTACTAAAAATTACCTAGCATTTCGCGCTCTTTAGGAGTCGAACTTGACTCTTTGCTGGGAAAGGCCAATACCTTCACCACTGGGCCACCAACCCCGGTGATAGGAAATGAAAAGTTGACATAGAAGGGAAGAGAGGGTTGGTAACAGTAATCATGACGACGATAAAAAATGAAATGTATATGAATAAAAAGATTTTTAACTATGTTTTTGCTTGATCTATAAATAATTGTATTAAGTATAATAATTCTTTATTTATATAATTTTGTAATGTTTAAAGAAATAATTCATCAAAATCCATTAAATGAAATTGACTTATGCTTTTTATTGTGAGAGAGTAGTGAACATATGGAACAAGTAGAATTATTATTATTATTTTTTATTAATTACACATATATTCTTTCAATTATTATGAAATATTATTTTATTTTTTTCAAATTATAAATTGTATATTTTTATTATTGACTATAAAAATTTGTATAAATATTTTTTTAATACAATTTTTGTCATGACCCAAGCCTGCCCCTAAGGGTTTAGTATCGTAATCGGGCAGTAATTCGTGATTACCAAAAGCCTGTTTAACAGTAATAACAATAGTACAATAATAGAGGTCGGCGGAAACCTATAAATAATAAAATATAATGTCTAAAGAACTGTGATGACTTAAATGAACAAACAAACTTGTGTATACAAATATTCACATAAGTCCATGTCCAAACATATGTACAAACATGCGATAACTTAGGGAATCAAATCCCAATAACAAAACAGTCAAAACAAAAGTCTGAAACAAAACTTCATAACATATGATCATAGTCACAAGTGGGCAAAACAAAACAGGGTTTAGGTCGACGCCGCTAAGATCGATCCGGTGCTTGATCACCTACATACATATATTAAACAGTGAGTTAGAGCCTAGTGAATAACAATTGTGTAAAGGGGCTATGAATGATGTCTTCACAGTCATTTAAAAACAATCAGTTTTAGTAGTGATTCAATTTACAAAGCAATATCTCATACATTGAATGTAATCATATCAGTCATGCGTGGTACATCCAATAACAGAACAGTACAATAGGTCTCAAAGACCGAGTGGTCATTTGATGGCCATCAATTTAGTAAACAGTAGTTCCAAGAATTGAAACTGACAAAGATCTCTGTAACAGTAGCAATAAACAGTAGCAGTATGCTATGGATGCCACGAATACAATTCATAAATTAGAAGAATCATTCATTCAATAAACAGTATCATTTCAGAAATAGAACTTAGCAATATCATTCGGAAAATTATTAATAGTTGAACATAACTTTATAACATTGTTACTCACAGTGAGCTCCCTGAATTACGTGCTTAAGATGCAGCGTTTGACCTAAACAAACAAATTCAAGCACAACTCAATTACACTTAGTCTCATCATAGGTTAAATACACTTAGTCTCTCTCCTAGTTCCTTTTCTTTGTTCAATTCGATGAGTAAAAATTAGGATGATAATAAATTTTCTAATATTAACTTTAATTATACCATATTACTTTCACCCCATTTAATTTAAGTCTCATCATAATCTAACTAAATTAGATTAAACTTAATTATACTAATATGGATTGGGCTCTAATTTCCTATTCAAATATTTAATTCTAACTTGTTAAATTACTAAATCAGACAGGTTTATTTCATATCTATACATATCTGTTCACAATAACAATACAATGCATATAACACATGGCACCAAAATTAACATTTAATCACATGATCAACATTAATCACATAATAAAGGTTAATAATATAATTAGCTTAATTAATTAAGGAGGTGGTTGTCACAATTTTAAAATAAAAAATATAAAAAAAATTGGTGAGGGCATAAATAAGGGGTTATTAGGGAATCTCTAACAATTTATCTTTTTTTCTTTATCAAATTTGAGTAAAAAATTGAGTTTAAGCTTCATTTGATATCAAGTGCTCAAATGAAGATTTTTAAAGTTTCATTAGAATACCGGTCGACCAGGCGGATGTCCGGCTGGTCGACTGGCCAGTGTAATTTTTTCATAAATTTTTACCTTGAGGTGGATATTTAAGAGGACAATTAATGATGAAAATCCAGTATATATAAATAGTGATTTGATGAAAGACATATCAGTTCTCAATTTCATGAAAGATTTGAGAAATCATGAATTTGATGAAAGATTTGGTACTAGATTGGAGCAGCAAAAAGTGAATTTTTTTTTCAAATTTAAATTTGATGAATCATTAATTGAACCATTAGAGATGATTTTACACTTTACTGTTGTGAAAAAGAAAAAGAAAAAAAGAGACATATACATAAATATAATTTTAAGTATTAATATATATAAAATTTCTCATTAATTTATATATATATATATAAATTTTTTAAACCCTACTTATGTGATATTTTCCCTTCTTTTAATGCATTTCAATTGATGGATCTATTTTTTTAGCTTTCTAACCTTTAAAGTTTGGTCTCATAAAATAAAATTAAAAAATAAAAAACAAACCCTTTAAAGTGAGTTATATTATATATAATGCAGCATAACACCCTCAGCTCAACCCTCTCCGGGTAGGACTGAGAGTTGCTGCTGTGCCTTATGGCACAGCAGTCCTATTGTGAAGTCTCGTAGAGGTATTTTTTGACTATATTTTAATGATCTGAACCGTTCATATTTTAACAAATTAACTGTCACCATGTAGGGAGCGGATTGGCACGATCGTATGTACAGATTAATAGTGGGGAACAAACAATATATATATATATATATACTTATTAAATATAGACTCACTGAAATATCTAGAAATGTATAATAATGATGTTAGAAAATATCAAACCTTTCTAGAAGAGGTTAAGATGAGGTTAAGATGATAATGTTCTCTATATAAAGCCATGAGCTAATTGTAAATGTGTATGCAAGAATCTTGACTTGTACTTAACATAATAAGAAGAAGTTTTCTTATATTTGCATCTCTACCTTATCTTCTTCTATAATTCCCTTCTTAGCTTGCCCAAGTTCTTATCAAATATACCTTGTCACCTTCAACAGAGAGAAGCCTTTCTTGTCGCCATTGACGAAACGAAGAGTGAGAGTGAGAGTGAGAGTGAGAGTGAGAGTGAGAGTGAGAGTGAGAGTGAGAGTGAGAGTGAGAGTGAGAGTGAGAGTGAGAGTGAGAGTGAGAGTGAGAGTGAGAGTGAGAGTGAGAGTGAGAGTGAGAGTGAGAGTGAGAGTGAGAGTGAGAGTGAGAGTGAGAGTGAGAGTGAGAGTGAGAGTGAGAGTGAGAGTGAGAGTGAGAGTGAGAGTGAGAGTGAGAGTGAGAGTGAGAGTGAGAGTGAGAGTGAGAGTGAGAGTGAGAGTGAGAGTGAGAGTGAGAGTGAGAGTGAGAGTGAGAGTGAGAGTGAGAGTGAGAGTGAGAGTGAGAGTGAGAGTGAGAGTGAGAGTGAGAGTGAGAGTGAGAGTGAGAGTGAGAGTGAGAGTGAGAGTGAGAGTGAGAGTGAGAGTGAGAGTGAGAGTGAGAGTGAGAGTGAGAGTGAGAGTGAGAGTGAGAGTGAGAGTGAGAGTGAGAGTGAGAGTGAGAGTGAGAGTGAGAGTGAGAGTGAGAGTGAGAGTGAGAGTGAGAGTGAGAGTGAGAGTGAGAGTGAGAGTGAGAGTGAGAGTGAGAGTGAGAGTGAGAGTGAGAGTGAGAGTGAGAGTGAGAGTGAGAGTGAGAGTGAGAGTGAGAGTGAGAGTGAGAGTGAGAGTGAGAGTGAGAGTGAGAGTGAGAGTGAGAGTGAGAGTGAGAGTGAGAGTGAGAGTGAGAGTGAGAGTGAGAGTGAGAGTGAGAGCTAAAAATAAATAAAAATTAATTTATAAAATTTTTATAAATATAATCTAAAAATATAAACGATACCAAACGCCCCGTAACATTTCTGTATAAATAATCCTAAACTTTTATAACAGTACACCACCGTCATGCAGTTGGGTTAAGTCAGTGACAGTGCGACACAAAGAAAAGCCCTAAAAGGTTGCGAAAGATTAGTCGATGGCGGAGACGAAGCACGAAGAAGACGAACAACAACAACAACAACATTCACACTCAATGCCTACGAAGCGGAAAGCGGATTTGATCTCCGTAGACGAAGACAGAAACGAAAGCGAAGTTTCAAAAAAGAAGCAGATGTTGCAGCAATCGTCTTCTGCTGACAAAGATTCTTCTTCGAAGATCGAGGAGTATGAAGAAGAAGAAGAAGAAGACGATGACCAAGAGGACTATGAGGATGAGGATGAGGATGAGGGCGACGATGACGATGACGATGAAGACGAAGATGGCGATGAGCATTCGAATGGGGAAGCGGAGGTTGATCGTAAGGGCAAAGGGATTTTGAGAGAAGACAAGGGAAAAGGGAAATTGATTGAAGAGTGTGACGATTCGAGCAACGAATCGTCAGACGGCGATAGCAGCGATCTGTCGGAAGATCCCCTTGCTGAGGTCGATTTGGATAACATTCTCCCCTCGAGGACCCGGAGTAGACGCGTAGTTCAGCCCGGACTTCATATTTCTAATGCTCCCGGCAACAATCATGACGATGGCAGTCACTGATGATGCTTAATTCAGAAGCAGGTTAGTAAGCGATCGATCATTTGTAATTTCATTCAGAGTTAACACTAGTTTTATGAGGTTTTGCTAATTGCTTGCTTGTTACAAGTACAATGTGTTAGTTTCTTGTTGAACACATATTTCAATGCAAATTAGGCACAACAATTTCGTTTACTGTGGGATTTCCATCCATATATTATAACAATTTATGTTTCACCAAATTTCCCCTTCAGAATATGCATAAATTTGGACATTTATTACTTGGTTGGTAATGGTTTTGATGCTAACCAATTAGTCTTGTGTTTTTATATACTGTGGTAGTGAAGTGACTCCAAAGACGCAAATTTCTTTCTAAGTTAGATAATTTTATTGCAAGTGATCTGAGGAATTTTGGGTGGAAGCAAGTGTTGTTAATGTACAACAACAATGTTGTGCGTCCAAATCCTCTGTAGTGGACCTTCCCTGGAGCTGGTTGCGATCTGATGGAGGTGTGGAAGAGTGGGGAAAAGGATGGGGTGACCTGAGGAGGGGTGGGGGCTGCAGTGGGTTGGATTGATGATGGAGGAGAATTCTTTCTTCCAGCAAGACTCTCTCTCTCTCTCTCCTTCATTCTGTGTTTTCCAGTTTTTTGTTTGTTTGTTTGTTTGTTTGTTTTGCTTTAAGCAAAACGGCACCGTTTTGTTTCACTGCAGGGACACTGCAGGGAAGGTCCACTCCAGATGATCTGGACGCCAATCTTGTGTAGTAAGAGGCATGCTACTTAATTTATTAATCTGAACAACTTATGTCCAGAGTCGATACTAAGCAGTTGCTGTTAGTAAAGACTAAAGAGCCATTGGCCGATTAAGTTTTAGGTCCTTATTGTGTAGAGACCATAGAGGACCTTCGTCTTGTACTCTTATTTGGTTAGTGTGTATTAATTGTTGCAACTGGATTAGGTGTTGCATCAAACACAAATTTTATGCACTCTGTTTCCTTGTAAAATGCTTTAAATTACGACACTTTTTTGGTAGATTTCGAACATCGAATGTTTTTCAGTTTTCCATGACATTCATTCTGTGAGAAACAGCATCAGTCTTTGACACCTAAGATGGATGGTGATTCTTTCGCTGCACCCAGGGATGAGCACTGCTCTTCTAAATAAAGGGTACTTGTTCAGTCCATTGTGGACGTTCTTTTCAGCTCTTGATCTAAGGCTTCTCTACTTATAGACTTATAGTACACTTATGTCCCTTTGATCGTGTAGTACGGTTGCAACCGGATTGTCTTTATCGGCATGTTTGTAGGCCTGCAAAACCAACCAAGCTAATTAAGCTCGACTTGTGCTTGGCTCGTTTGAGATTGACTCGTTATGTAAACAAGCCAAGCTTGAATGCATTTTAAAGCTCATTAAGTTTTCAAGCCAAGCTTGAACAACCTACTACTCTGCGTGATAAGCATATATACACTATAAAAACTAAGCTACTTGAGCTCTACCTGTGTCCAAGATTGACTCATTATGTTAAAAAACCAAGGTAGAACACGTTTTGAAGCTTGTTAAGTTTTTAAGTCAAGCTTGAACAACCAACTACTCTACTCAATTCGGCTCGTTTGCACCCCTGGATGTTTGTGGCCTCTTAGATAATGTGTTCTATGGAGTGGTCATTTTAAATTTTCAATGATTTAGGGATAGCCTAACCATTAGGACTAAGTTTGGGAAAAATCTAATGTGATTTCTAAAAGCCCTATTGGAGAGCTACTGTTCTTACAGTGTCCTTTCTCCTTTTCTCTCCCTTCATAGTTGAGAGGTCCAAAACATCCTCTCTTTTTTTCACTTTGTGAATCTGGTTAAAGTGCGATGTGTTGTGTGTTAGGTAGCCGACAGTCAATACGTAAAAAAAGCCGTTCGGATCCCTTATGAAAATGAATCCTACTTTGAATCGTTTAAATGCTAGGTCGTTACCCTCAAGTAACGCGTTGCGCTTGCCTCCGGATGTTTCGAAAAGTGAGCAAGGGGCGCTGCATGGATGCCTGTGTGCAGTGAAAAATGGGCAAATGTTTCCGCGTTTTTCTGAACGAATGCGGGTAAAGAAGCTAGTCCAAGACTACAGGTTTAGGGTAGCCACTTGGAATATAGGAACCTTAACTGGTAAGACGATGGAATTGGTAGATGTTATGATTAGGAGGAGAGTTAGTATAGCTTACGTACAAGAAACTAAATGGACGGGTGAGAAAGTTAGGAAAATTGAGGATACCGGTTTTAAACTATATTATAGTGGTAAGGACAAACGTAGGAATGGGCTAAGAATCATAATTGCCAAGGGTTTGGTGGAGAATGCAGTGGCGGTAATTAGGAAAGGGGATGTGATTATGTTAGTTAAACTAGTTATTGGAGGGAATATAGTGAACGTTATTAGTACATACGCTCCTCAAGTAAGATTAGATAATCAGACTAAGAGGGATTTTTGGGGGCAAATGGATGAGATCTTACAGGAGATGTCCGTAGGAAAGAATCTGGTTATAGGTGGAAATTTAATGGGCATGTAGGCATAAATAAACTAGGCTATGAAAGGGTGCACGGTGGATACGGTTTTGGTGACAGAAATGAGGTTGGAGAGAGTATCTTAGATTTTGCGTTGGCTTCTGACCTGGTGGTGGCCAATACTATGTATAAAAAGAGGGAGGAGCATTTGACAACTTTTAAGAGTGGGTCAGTTAAGAGCTAAATAGATTACTTCTTAGTGAGAAAAGTGGACCGCCTAAAATGCAATAATTGTAAGGTGATTCCTGGAGAGAGCCTGACCTCTCAACATAGGATTTTGGTACTAGATTTATATTTTAGAGGGCAATACCAAGGTAGGAAGGATGGTGGGCGTCGTAGTTTTTATTTAAGTTTTTTAAATTTTTGTAAATATAAACAGAAAACTGAAAACGTAAGTGTTACCAAACGGCACCTTAAGAATAGAATGGATAAGGAAGGTACTTGGGACTTGGAGAATGATAGCTAATTGTATGAGGAGAATCTTAAGGGAAGTGCTTAGAGAGTCGAAAGGGATGGGACCCAGTGCTAGGGAAACTTGGTGGTGGAGGGAAGAGGTTCACGCGGTAGTTAAGGCAAAGAAAGAATGCTTTAAAAAGTGGCAGAAGGATAGAACTGAGGAAAACCTTAAGAGCTATAGATTGGCTAATAAGGAGGTCAAAAAAGTAGTGAGAGATGTTAAGTTGAAAGCTTATGATAACTTATACACTAGACTAGATAGTAAAGAAGGAGAGAAGAGAGTATACAAACTTGCTAAGATACGGGAAAGGAAAACAAGAGATTTTAATCAAGTTAAGTGCATCAAGAGTGAGGATTCGAAGGTATTGGTGAAGGATGAAGAGATTAAGGAAAGATGGAAGAACTATTTTGAGAAACTATTAAATGAGGAACATGGAGGTACGGTAATAGGGGAAGAAATGGCTAGTAATACGATAAACCAAGACTATAGGCTTTATTGCAGGATTATGAACTTTGAAGTGGAGATTGCACTTAGGAAGATGAAATCAAATAAGGCTTTAGGACCCGATAATATCCCTATTGAAGCTTAGAAGTGCTTGGGTAAAAAGGAGGTTGCTTGGTTGACTAGGTTGTTTAGCAAAATTTTGTTGACTAGGAACATGCCAGATGCGTGGAGGAAGAGTATTTTAGTGCCAATATATAAGAATAAAGGAGATGTCTAGAATTGCAATAACTATAGGGGAATCAAGCTAATGTGTATAGAGAAAAGAAAAGAGACATTCAAATGGTGTTTATTGACCTTGAGAAAACATATGATAGAGTGTCCCGAGATATAATATGGTGGGTGTTAGAGAAAAAAAGGGTAACAAAAGGTTACATTAATGTGATTAAGGACATGTATGAAGGAGTGGTGACCACTATTAGATCGTCTGTTGGAGAAACAAATGAATTTTCTATTACTGTTGGGTTACACCAAGGATCTACCTTAAGCCCTTATCTTTTTGCTTTAGTTATGGATGAGTTGACGAGAAATATTCAGGATGACGTGTCATGGTGTATGTTTTTTGCAGACGATATCGTGCTAGTGGATGAGACTAGAGAAAGAGTTAATACAAAGTTGGAGATTTGGAGAAAAGCTCTTGAATCTAAAGGTTTCCGGATAAGCAGAAATAAGACAGAGTACATGGAGTGTAAATTTAGTAACAGTAACAATGAAAGCAGAGTAGAATTGAAGATTGAGAACTAAGAATTGCCTAAGAGTGAATATTTTCGTTATTTAGGGTTGATTATCACAACAGCGGGAGAGATTGATGCGGATGTGGCCCATAAGATTAAGACGAGATGGTGTAAGTAGAGAAGTGCGTCTGGGGCACTGTGCGATAAACGAATACCCACTAGACTAAAAGGTAAGTTCTATAGAATGGCTATTATACCAGTGATGTTGTATAGGACGGAGTGTTGGGCAACCAAGAAACAACATGTAGATAAGATGACTGTGGCTGAGATGATGATGCTAAGGTAGATGTGTGGCAAGACTAGATAAGACAGAATTAGGAATGAGTGTATTCGGGAATGGATAAGAGTAGCACCGATAGAAGATAAGTTGTGAGATAATCGATTGAGATAGTTTGGTCACATTCAACAGAGACCAACAGAGGCAGTAGTGAAGAAATGCGATGCTGTAACGGTAGAGGGGAGTGTTAGGGGACGGGGTAAGCCTAGATTAACGTTGGCTAACGTTGTAAATAAAGATATGGATCTACTTAATTTGACTAACGAAATGGCATTTGATAAGGTCGCGTGGAGAAGAAGGATTCATGTAGCCAACCCCATTTGATGGGATTTAAGGCTTGGCTTGGTTTGGTTTGGTTTGGTTTGGTTTGGTTTTTTTTGTTTTTCATCAATTTTTTAAAATATTTTAAGCGACTTTTTTAGCTTTTAGATGTTCCTAACCTAAATGCACTTAAAAAAATAAAATATTTGTGAAAAATTATATTAAAAAATCAACTACACAAAAATAGGAAAATATATTGAATTTTTGTATTTTTTATATTTAGTGATTTTTTAAAATAATTTTTTTTAAGTATATCTACGTTAGGTTACATTTATAACTTAAAATATTAAAAAAATTCATAAAAAATAAAAATAACACAGAAAACAAAAGAACTCAATTTTCAGAAAAGTAACAGTGTGCCCCAAATAATATAAAATTTAAATTTTATTTAATATATGAGTTTATTAGATGGACTTAAGGGTGTTTTGGAAAGAAAGAAATAAGCAGCTTTTTTGCTTATTTTATGGCTTTTTGGCTTTTTCACAAATGCATTTGGGAAGTGCTAAATAAGCAATTTTTTTTGTTTTTTTGAAAATTATTATAATATGGTGTCACATCATTTGTTAAAATTGTAAATTCACATTTTACCCTTATGCGTATTTTTGAAATTACCATTTTTCCTTCCACTAACATTTTCCGAATGGAGGGTATTTTGGTAATTTCACAAGCTGGCTTATATCTATCTTCTGGAAGCTTCTATTTACATCCCAAAAAGTAGGTTGGGCATCTCATTACTTTGAGCACCCCGATAATAAATTTAAAATTTTATTTATTTGTTTAGACACCCCTAATAATACCTATCCTAACCCTAAAAATCCAAAAACTCTATACAATTATACTTTGTACACCCCATTACCAATAAACGGATGAATAAAAATCACATTTGGGGTCTCTGGAATTCCAAGTGGCGAAGAGAAATTTTGAGTTCATCCGAGACGAAGAGGGTCTCTGCTCCTCTACATAATCTTTCCATTTCGAGTTCCAGTTGTTTCATATGAAATACTCAGTGCCGAACAAAATATATTTATCCGTGTACTCAATTCCAAACATGTGAAGTTTGTTCGAATACTTTGTGTCGAACATAAGAAAATTGGTTTGAGTTGTTTCATATGGATACTCAGTGTTGAACAAAATATATTTGTTCGGATACTTAATTCCAAACATGTGAAATTTGTTTGATACTCAGTTCTAGGAGTGGACATCGGTTCGTTGGCCTGCCTAGCTTAGTCCTATTTTTTAAGACTTGGCTATATAATTTTAGCCTATAGAGCTTAGCTGGGTTGATATTTTCAACCCAATTAATAAATTGGATGGGTTTGGGAATTGTACTTCTGGCCGGTCTTGGCCCGCTACATATTTAATTTAATAAATTAATTAATTTATATAATATATTAAAAATATATATACCCTTTTAATTGTATATTTTTTTAATTTGTTAATAATTTATTTGTTAATAATGTAGGAAACTTAGTATCATCAGAAATAATGGTTAATGGTGATTCTAGCTCTTCAGAAGATGATATAATGAAATAGAGGGAGAAGTTTTTGATAAATGTGGTTGAAGCCCTACTTATAAGATTATTGTATCTACAGTTATCTAGTTGAGCAATACTAAAGAACGAACCTAAGCTGACCTAACGCCGTTGAACTAAGCTGTGTCTAAAATTAGGCACCCATAGTGTGGAGCAACAGAAGAAGCCCTCTTTCAACTCAGTGACCTTGGCATGACGGCTGTTTGTTTCAAATGACCGGCCCACTTGTTTGTTTCAAATGAATTTGGTTGACACATTCAATTTGAAACAATAATTTGGAAACTTTGTGTTAGGATTTTTCTGTCAATATGAGCTGGTAAAAATAATAAGGGGTTGTTTGGGATGACCTAAATAAATGCACTTTTTGTCTTTTTACGAAAAGATGTGCAGAAAAGTAGAGAGGTGATGTGATGGAAAAAAGATAAAAAGATAAAAATATGAATTATTTTTAGGTTGTCAAACTTGGCCTAAATAAATAATTGTTAAAGTGGGTAAGAATTCACAGATGATATATTTATTGGAAGCCATGAGGATTGAGATGGTGCCTCTTTGGACTTGAAATAAAATTTAAGTGGTATTCGTGAGCATTGCATTGGACTTTCAGATATGAAAAGAATTTGTATGGTTATGCCATAGTTGGCAGTACACAGTTTATTCCTTTTGGAGGTCTCTGCTTTGAGCAATGAAAAGTCATTGTTGGGCTATTTTCACTTAGTGGGTTACCAATTTTGGAAAGTTCAATGGTTGTTTTTTTTGTGTTATCTCGTAAGCCATTTCATGTATACAAATGTGGGTGTATGGGATGGGCTGTCCAAAGTGTGGAGTTATATTATGGAGTGAGAAAAAATACAGGGGTGAGCAAGGGCTCAACTACCTTGACATGGGATTCGAGTAATGGTGTGAGTTTTGCGTATTTTTGGTCATCTCACGTATACTCTATTTTTTTTCGTATAGTGAATTTACCTCTCTCGTGGATGCAAGCATTTGGGCCAAACCAAGTTAAATATTGTGCGACTGTTTTGGGTATGCTTCCATTATCACTTGGGTTCATATTTTAATATGGGGTATCAGAGTTTTGAAGGTGGGATTTTATTTCCAACACTTTGGACACCAGATAAAAATGGCAAGTGCACTATAAACAGCATGAGTCTTGCATTGCATTGTTGCAAAAATTGCAATGCATATTTTGTCATGAAAGTAAAAATTAGATGAATTAATGCTATGCTATTTTTAAAATTGTTGCTATGAGAATGATTACTACTTGTACCTTTGTCATGGTTGAAGGGGAATTAAATGCTTATACTCATTTATATTATATTACCCCTCTGGAAGTTTGGATGATTGGGTATCTCATATATTCCTTGCTGCTTGTTCTGGAATGCAAAAAGATAGAATCAGTTGATTATTGATTATTCTTGCTGCTATTCTTTTAATGGATGAATGTGTTTGATTGAGGATCTTTCTTTTTTATGGGGTTACTGGCTTGCAAGTTTCTTTTAACCGCTGAACATGACTTCTCATCTGATGATGCATCTTGTCTCGGGGAGATTACAGTTTTTTGATCTTAGACGCACTATGTTTTTCATTTGTTTCAAAGCATCAGGTTCCCATAGTCTTTGCTCTAGGACATGGGGTCCTGTTTCTAGTTCCCATTTTGCTCAGCATTAGACTCAATTTTCCACTTAGTGACAAAACATAGTAGCAAAATTCTAACAACCTCTAATTGTCGTTGTGAAAGTGCCAACTTTTGTTAGTCATCATTTGAGATGGAACATGTTCTAGATAACATTCGTTAGTAAAAATTTATGTGTAGTACTAATCTGGATTTTGACCTTTACTGGGCAGTCTTGGCTGGCTCAACTGGGTTTAAAACCCAGTGAGGTTTGTTAGTAGGTTTTGATTAATCAAAAAAAAAAGAAGAAAGAAAGTATGTTGGTAGGTTTTGAGCAAATGGCCATGGTCTTATTTGGTAATCAGCTATGGGTGGCAAAGTTTATTGTTATTTCTGATTTGGATTAAGGGTCACTGCTGTGCTCTTTAGCAGTGACTGTTGTGTCTCAATTTGAAATATATTATGGGTTTATTTTTATGATCTGAACCGTTCATTTTGTAGGGCTTGTGGAGTATTTCGTGCATATCAAAAATTATATTAATCAGATATCAATAATTATATGATTGACAAAGGTTATTATTGTTTGGGCCTACTTGTACTAAATCATGTAGTGAGGCCCTTTAACAAATTGAAAGTGATTTGGTTTAGTGTTGTTTGGACCTAGTGGGCAGGCAAACATGAAACTGTCCTCCTCTGTCCAATGTCGGTGTCCCATGTCCAATGTCCATCCACAAAACATAAAAACGTTATTAAATGGTCCTTCTCTTCCTTCCTTTTACAAGTCGTAACATATTAACAAACATAACCTTCCCTCTTGCTATATTACAAGAATTGATTCCTACCAGAATTATGTAAAACAAATGAACCGCAACTTGTTGATGAGGCACTTCATTTTCATCAACCCATCATCTCTCCACTTGGACCGCGCAAAAAAAAAAAGGTGGAGACGTGCACGAAAAAGGGCTTTGCCTTTTTCTTTGTAAAAAAAGAAAAAAAGAAAAAGAAAGCTGATAATATAATCAATAAAACTAACCATCTCCATGTGGTCCTTCACCCTCCTTCCTCGTTTCCATCTCCAAAATTCTCTTATGCTGTGTTTGATTCAAAAATTTTGGAAGTGATTTGAAAAGGGAAAAAAAAAAAAATATATATATATATAAATAAAATATATTTACATTTTATCTAGTTTTACATAATTTTTTCCTTCTCTATTTTAAAATCTCTACTCAAATTCTTGAGTTAAAGGTAGTCTCATAGTTTTAGCCTTCCCATTGATTCGGTCAGTCTCACATCTATGTACTCCCATACACGGTGGTTGTCTATACAAACATCTGGTGATATATATATATATGTAGTATTAATTAATATAAATTCACTGGTTTTTGAATTTGTTGATTTCTAGGGGGGCAGCACCTTGTGGCAGAGAATAAATGGCTAGATTCTATTTGATAGGATTTGAGAGGTTACAAACTATTGAATAAAATATATAAAATAAAATTTGTATGGCATGTTCTAAAAATAATAGAAGCCATGGGCATAATTAATTTTGTAAGAGCCACTTGCACTATTCATTTTACTTGCTGACATTAATGGCCCCCATGTGACAAAAATCTCCAAAACCCTTTGAATAATTTGTAGGCAGGCAGTATCTGAGAATCATGACATTGCGTATGCCATGCTATCTCCAATATATATGCCGTCAAAGTTTCAAACAAGCTGCAACAATTACAAACTGAAATTTTCCGGCAGAATGAATTGGAAAACAACAGCCAAATTAGTAGCTCAATTTTTTACAGGCTGGGAAAAATTTGATAACTCGTGACCCATCTGATGAATTGATCAGCGATGCCGACAAAATCATACAGCACAACAATAGATGTAGATGTAGACGTAGATGTAGATGGTTACAACACAAAGCAAAACTTTCCGTGGACTGCGTTACATCAGATTGAAGTCCACAATATTAATTTATTTATTGTAATTTGTAACTACTAAAATAAACCAACCATTTTCCACGGCTATTCATATATCATACCGTATGCCCATGGCATGGGCATTCATATAGTGAAAAGATAGACTATTATTTATTTATTTATTTATTTTTTTATTCGGCAAATGTTTGGACATTTATATAGTGAAAAGATAGATTATTATTATTTTTTTATTTTTTTTGATCGGCAAATGTTAATTGTTAAATATTAGATTAACACACATGGACAAAGCATCAAAGTGTTTTTACTCCTTTAATTTAACTCTTCTAAGGGAAATTAAACCCATGACTTGTATGAGATTAATAAGTCCTAAGGAAGATATGGTGGCCAACTAGGCTTAAATAGATTATTACTAGTTATTTGATTGAATTTGAGTATTATTAATAAGGAAGAGTTGTTAAAAGTTCAATTAGATTAGTAATTTTTTAGATAATCTTATTCTTCAATGGCGTGGTGGTGAGTGGTTGTACTTGTCTCTCTCACACATCACATGGTTGCAATTCTAGCCAATAATAAGATGGACTAAGGCATGGACTAAGGCGGGCACATGAATATGGAAATAATCATCATCCCCTTGTCAAAAAAGTAAATAAATTAATTAAATGAAAATATACATATATATTTTAATTGGAGAAGCCCATAGCTATCAATTATGTTCTTGTATTTGTAATTATATGGAAAGTGGGGCTATATAAAATATAATAAAACTATATTATTATTAATTAGTCATCATTTTCGGCCTAACCACTCCCTTTCTTTGAATATTAGTATTCGTGGTTGAGTTGTTGTGCAGATACTACTTACTAATACTAATACTAATACTAATACTTTAGTCTAATAATGCAGACAAATTTTGCCAACCTGTAAACCTCCCCAACCCCCTCACTCTCCGCTTAAATTAATCCAAATTGCCTTCTTATTTCCACTCTCTCTCTCTCTCTCTCTCTATATATATATATATATATATGTGAGTTTTTGTTTTGTTTTGTTTTGTTTTTTGAGTTTATCCTTCTATTTTAATACACTTTCAGTTATTATTATGTTTTAAAATTTATATGATTATGATTTTTTTACATAATTTACTGTTTAGAAATACATTGAGATGGCAAATTCTTAACTCCTTTCTAAAAAAAAATAATTACTGTTAATTTAATGATAAAATCCTACTATCTTTGAGAATAGAGAGCTCTATTATAATTTATGCATATCTTGCCTGTATCTTTTAGCAATTTATTATAATAATTTTTTATTAAAAATGTGAAACTATATATGGGTTGGTGAGAGTTATCCCTCGTCTTCCTCTATATGTTTTATTACATATTTCTGACTTTTATTTGTTAGGAACGATAAACAGTATCAAAAACTCCATTTAACCCTGGGGGAGCCAAACCCCAACCCTTTTTGTTTGGTTTGATACTAGTATAAAACTCCGCTATGCACCGTCTTGAGCAAAATAACTAAATTTTTAAAAAAATAAAATAAAATTAAATAGTAACAATTTTAAATGAAATCATATAAATTAAATTATTTTTATCTAAATTACACGAAAATAATGCTTTAATGTGTTGTTATTAGTGATTTATTTAAATATTAACCAATATATATGTCTATCATGACATGATCAGTAGATATTAGAGTAAAAAATTTATTTGAGTGAATTATAAAAATTACACTTAAGGGATAAGTATATATTGTCTCATGCTAAATTTCTTGAATGACATAAGATCCTAAAGTTGTCAATTCATAATTACATATTGAAACTCAATCAAAATTTTTTAAAGTTGAAAATAAATTGGAGAATGAAATAGAAAAAAATTGAGGAGTAACAATTACCCATTTCCCTGAGTCACTCTCAAATCGAGTCTTCCATACCCCCCCCATCATACACAATCTCTAAATCCTTTCACACTTCTTGGTTAACCACCTCCAACTATCATCTCTACTTTCCTTCTCCCAGTCACCTTTTTCTAGTCTCTTCCGCCCCAACCACTCTTACAACTTTCGACTTCTAACCCTACAATCAACTTCTAATGACATTTTGTTCGATTTACAATTAGTGAATTAAGTGTACTTACACTTCAATTAAATGCTAATTTCATAGTCAACCTAAAAATTTAAAATTTTTGTGTTTTCAATCAATTGTCCATAAATAAAAGTTTTGTTGAGAAATAAGTAAAAACAATAACTATTTTAAGTTCTATATTTTATTTACATCTATTTAAGATAATTGCATATAATTTAAACATGACAATTAAACCTCTTGTACCATATTTATGCTACTTTTGGATAATGAATCCAAAGTAAACAAAATGAAATTAACTAAATAAAAGTGGATTTTTTTTTTACAATTATCTAATTCATTTTTTCATTTTCTTAATCCAACCAAATATAAAAGTGTATTTCACTTCATTTTATTTTTCTATGATTTTTTTGTCTCTTTCATTTTGCTTTCATTCTGCAAATTCAAAAAAGAAAAAGAAAAAAAAGACTATAACTAAAAGGAATGAAAAAAATTTGAAAGCAAATGATATATTAATCCTATAATAAAAATAAAAAAATATATGTATTTTTTGTATATAAGCAATTTTAGAAGGATTTAAAAAATTAAGTATTAATTTATTTTTCTATAAGTATTTTGAAACGGTTCGTAATTAATAAATAATGGCATATACTTACATTTTAAAACTTATTTTGT